TCATTAATGTAAGACTAACACGAATTTTCCATTTTTTAAAGAAAGTTGGTGTAAATTTAATAAACTTTTCACTTTTTTTGAATATTATCTAGGGAGTTTGGTCGTTAATCTCTTTTTTAAAACTTAGTTTTATAGCTAGCTGTAAAGGACATACACAATTTAATCGTAAAGTGTCGAATGCAGTATGTCATATATCAATTTGTATCATACATAATTCACACTACCTATAAATATATAATATATTGCGTATAAGTAAAGTCAAACTGCTGCCATTAATCTATTGAAAGTTGTAATTACTTTTAGCCGTCATGCTTGAGATTTGCCATTTTGTTAAGCCACTAATGGGCCGGTATAGTGTTCTATCCCCCTTCGGTAACGTTGACTAAGTTTTCGATAGGACTAATGACAGTACGGTGACAAAAAGAAAAAAATATGGTGGCAATAACTACTTTTCGCTTAGCTTTAACAAGTTTTGTTTCTTTTGTTAAATCGGAAATGGATTTTAAATTCTGAAAACGGTTTTCATTAGTTTCTGATGTAACAAGTTTTCAAGATGTGATTGCTTGGTCTTTATAATAATGTTTCTTATAATGTTTATACATTTTGCAGAGACTGGGTTTCTTGCGATTCAAACATTATTATGTAAAAAATACCAGGGTTAACGATAGTTTTACTTCTTATTAATCAGTCATTTTTTAACATTCAGTCTATCCGTTGGATAAATACAACAGGTTATTTTTAAGTGATTCAGTGTGTAGCCAACCAACTAGAAAATATCTGAATATCATGACCTAATAAATTAAAATATTAGTTTTTTTATAACTTTTACTTATAGATTAAATTTATAGAGCTAAGAATAGAATAATCATGATTGTATCACTAACACTAATGTTCGGAAATGCTAAAATCGCATGTCATTAAATACTAACGATGTACACGTTTTTCCTTGTTTGTACATTTATTTTTTAATAGTAAATAGTATATACTTATGCCAATTTTATAACTTTCTTAATGTTTGTGTAAAAAATGGGACTAGATTAAGTGCAATACTATGTACATACAAAATTTCAACCACAAATATTTGTATAAACAATACATCGTTGCGCTGTTACAATTAAATAAAATATGCCATCTTACAACCATTTAAAGATATCAAGAATTGACTAGCTCAATTTTATTTTCTAAGAAGTGCAATTGAAAAATTATTCATATCGGTATTAGTTGTGAAAAAAAAGTTTATTTCTTAAAACATATCCAGTAGTTGTATTCGACCTTTACACAATTTATTATTAGTCTTAAAACAACTAGTTTTAAGTTGTTTGATCTAAAGTTTAATTTTAGTGCACTTACTTCATTGAAATTGTAAAAGAGTTAAAAAAAAGTTTAGAGGATTTTAAAAGGATATCATAATAATGTATCCCATTGCTCATAAACCATATAATGTGAAAACGTTAGATAATTTTAGAAAATGAGTAGTTGCTCAAATAACCAAAAAGCCAAATCATACACATATAACTGATAGCTTGACTGAATTTAGTGTATACTATACCTACTTGATTGTTTGTAAAATCTAATACGATTATTACAGATGAATACAGTCGTGTGAATGGAGGTGTGACACAATGCTATCTTATAGTTCATGCAGCTTACCAAGAAAACTATATTTGATTTGGCGTTTTCATTCCCCCAGTATGTGTTCTGTGAGATATTATTTTCATTAATTTTTCTAAGTACAGAATATTTGTGTTGGTTTTACATAAATATAAATAAACTAAAAATTTATTTAAATAAACATTATTTAAATAATGTTTATTGAAAATAATCGAAAAACAATTTGTCGAATAATATATAATATTTTAAAATTTTTATTTCAATTAATACTTTATTAGATTTATTTTAGTTTTTATACGTTGTTTCATTTATTTTGCTAAATTAAGCTGCACATAACGTTGTCAAAACTATACATATTGAAAAGCAGCCAGGATATATTTTAATAAAAGGGTTTAAAAGTAACCCCAATACGTCGTTTTCTATTTGAACACAATTATTAGATTTGTTGTCATTGAAATCAATGTTGAAATCAATTTTTATCAAGGATCATATTATTATACGAGACGCATATAATGTTAGAAAAGCTTAACCCACACATTTATTATTTCAACAAATTATGATAATATAATATAATTATAATTGTTTAAATGGCAATACCAAAAAAATAACGGGGTTTTGCCATTTAGCGGATATTTTTTTTTTTAGGTTTGTGTCAGTTTGGCTCAATATTAAAAATACATTCTTTTTTATAAAAATAAAAAACTTACCCAACCAACCCTACTTTAGATGCTTTGTTTTTTTTTTTTTTTTTAAATGTTAGCAAGGCTCTATTAAAGGTTTTCACATAGGTATTACATATTATATTTTAACAGCTTGCGCACGAGTCCACAACACCACGGGAACATTTTTATGTCTCGTTCCGCGTACGCCTTGATGCCACTTGAATATTCTTCGTTGCTAACCCAAAATAAACACTTGGTTTGTAATAATGGTAACCACGGTACTCGAAAGGTAGATGATGATTTATTTTTTGTTGTGGCCAAAAGTTTTTTAGTAGTTTTTAATAATTGACCTTAATCGATTTATTGGCGAAACATACATTTGGTTATTTTGAATCAATTTAACCATTCATTCAAATTTGTTCGTTGTGAAAACAACACATAATCTAAAAAATGTAACATCCCTATCCCCATTAACAATAAAAAATGTCAAAAAATCCGGTTGCAACCTAGTAAAGTAGCAAAAAATGTCTGTATGCCTGAACCGACTTGAAGTAGGACCATTTAACGTGGACAACATTTTGTTAAAATTGGCTTTTCGGTGTAAACCTCAAACAACCTGAAAGCTCTCAATCCCATTAAGAATAAAAACAATTTCAAAATAAAAAATATTTTATTATGAACACGGTAGATACGACATTTTGTTCGCTAGGAATAAGTGGTCGGATAAGTTCCCTGTGGTATAAACTACATTATAATCATGATTCGTGTAATAAATAATGTAAAAACAGTGAAAATATGTTTTACATCGATGATTAATGGGTTATTTGTACGTACACGGTACAGACCAACATCAGAATAAGTTTGTGAACTTTTCGTTCAGCCGGAGAGTGGTTAATAATGTCTTATTGACAGGCGAGAAATTCCATTCGTATTTTATTTATTTTTTAACTTTGGCGATATTACCCAATGAGCATAGAGAATTAGAATTTGATTTTTCGAAGCCTTTTAAACGTTTAATATGTCAACAGAATAAATTATGCTTCGTGAATGTCAATTATTTGGGTTCTATTAGCAGAGTAACATTTTATTTTTTCGGTTAAACTGATTGTATAAAAAAAGTTTAGCTGTATTGAAAGTTGAAACTAATTAATTACCAATATTTCAAGGTCTATATTTGAGTTTAAAATGGAAGCACGTGAATTTGAAAGAAAATATTTAAAATTATATTGTATAAAACACAGAAAATGATTGTGTACTACCATCATCAGAGTGATCAAAATGTTTGTATTAATACATATACCTACATGGGTTTTTTAATTGAATCGTACTTGAAAGGATTAACGATTATCAATCAATATTAATTAACGACTATCCATGGTCAAATGGTCGTGAAATAATATATGAAGACATTCGAAGATTAATTTGTATTTAATGCTGTACTTTTATTAGCCAAGCTTTAGATTTTAATATTCATATCAAATTTAGAAATTTGTTAAAACATTTTTTCCTTGAAACTAGTCGTGTCGGGTAAAAAGTTTTTTTTAAGGAAAACTACTTTTTAAAATCGTATTATGTGTACATGTAAAACGACTTTTCTCAAGATGTTAATATAATTATTTTTTAAACAGGGTTTTTACTCGGTTTTCTGCGTTGAAAAATAAATGTTTTTGTTGTCAAACTTTGATTTTTTTTTAATCAGTTGGATATCATGGAATACATGCACGTATTTTCAAATTGATAAAAGTTTCATGCAATATATTTTTGCAACGTCAATATTTTGTTACCTTGCCCGAATGGAAAAATAGCGAATAATAGGAATGAATGTTAATGTATGTGCTATATGAAAAAAATGTTTGAAATAAATTATTTAAGTGCAGAATATAGGTTAAACGTATTAATAAAATATTTTTCTTATAATACAAAAAAAAACGTTATAAAGCTAAACTCAACAGTTGATTAATATATATTAATATTTATATTGGTTCAAATGTAAGTGTCACTAATGGGTGACTTTTTTATCAAATGTATCACATGTTTTATATTATATTAACACATATAATTATTATGCTATAAATTGTACGGATTGTATATTTTCTCAATAAAAAAAAAATAATAATAATAATATTCGGATGATTTACATTTGTTATTACAATTTACGGTTACTTACTCGAATAATAGGTCTGATGAACAAGTTATGTTACGAAATTATACCAAATACAAATTAATAAATAATACAATTAAAAATAAAAAATAATACTTACATGCATTCTTATAATAATTTACATACATTTTTTTTTTATTATGAAATTAAAATCAGATTACTCTTTCTATTTAAACAAAGTTCAATAGTACAACTATTATTGTTGATGTGACTAAATCTGTCTATTACAAAAAATACATGTTCGTTTTCACCGTTACGTTTGAAGACAATTAAATTAAAGACCTGTTCATGTTAATGTTGATATGATATTTCGATAAATTCTAAGCAAATATATAATAAGCTTACAATAAATTAAAGTAGTTCATCATAATCGACTTAGATATGAATGTTCGTTATAGCGTTTAAATATTTCTTTATTTTATAATTATTTAAGTTAAGATCCGAATAACCAATTGCTAAGAACCAATCCGGCAACTAGTTTGATAGGTTGCCACGCTGCTTGCACCTTTTTTTATTGATTTATAATTAAAAAATTGTGTTTTACATAAATATTGGTATGTTGACAGGAAATTTGTACGAGGAAAAATGTGGATTCGAAGGGTGAACTCGACTAATTGGAAAAAACCTACCCTTACGCTACATATGGCTAATATTTTGCAGTAAATTATTTGAAAGTTATCTGTACTTATCTATTACTCATCGACGGCCTGGAACGTCGAGATAATATTAAATAAACAAAAAAAAAAGCCCGAAGATGATACCTACAAATGTCATGTCATTTATAAACAAGGTTAGTATATCTTAAATTTATATCATATCATATTAGTTCATACAATTGACCGTTAGTAATGAATATTACTAACTTATTAATATAAGTCATTAACTTTAAGTGGTTCCTTATACATTTTAAGGTGATTTCAAATCGTTATTGCTAAATAATTGTAAACTAAAACATATTAAAATAAACTTTATTTTGGAAATAAGAATTTGCAAATTATTTAAACTTATATTGAAATTGTTTCCTTTTTTGGAGTTTAAACTCTTGCGTCCATAGATAAATTTAAAAAAAAAACAGGAAAACCCAATAATGTCATTAACAACTAATACTTGATACGCATTCAAATTAATATCATTCCTGTTACTCATTTCATATATGTTTTTTAGATTCATAGTTTCTTTTTTTTTCACTGGCCTTTGTACAATGATTTCAGAGTATTCTGTTTTCTATTGTTTTATTTTTGTGTTAATCAAAACACAGACAATTTTTATTTTCTTCGCAAGTAGATGTATATATTTTAAAAACCCTGATTGTTATAGTAACAAACATGAGGTCGAATAATTGTTGACGAATAACTGACCGGTTATAATTAAAATGGTTGGATCAATTGTTGAATAGAATATATTAACGAATGACCAGCGAAATACAGAATTTTTTAAAAAACGGGGTTCATTTTGTATGTCCATACTATGTATAATAAGATTGTGGGCCCTTGTGTGTGTGGGGCATGTAAACATTACTGCTACACAGGAGAAGGATTGTGTTTCGTAAACGGATTAGTAATCAGTTATGAAATACAAAGAAATTATGTTGGCTCTACTGCGACCGTACAAATTTAAAATAAAATAAAAACATTTGTGGTAGAACCAGCACACACCAACGTCATTACCATAAATTACTTTTGCTATGGCTGTTTTCAACATAATTGCAGTGCTTTTAAAAACGTTTAAATTGTATTGCATTATTCTTGAATGAATTCGTTATACAACTTTAGCGGCTAATGATATATTTTGAAATATTATTTAAAACTGAAAAATATAATATATTGGTGTGATGCAAGGTTTACCAACTATACACTACACGCAGTATACACATGCACGAGTGCCAATGTTTTCCTTTTTAAATAGATTATTTTTATTGGACAAACAAATTATAACTGTTTACGGGTCGTGTACTTCGATTATAATTTCCAAATGTTTTTTTTTTTTAAGTTGTTTGTCTAGAAAAGAATTAGCCTGGCATGAAGTATAGGGATTATATTATGTTTTTTCCTCTTTCCTCTCTATCCAGCTTATGGACGCCTACGATACCACGGCACCTCCGGGTATTATGAATAAGCCCAAATGCCAGAGCCAGTCCGAAGAACGACGATTAATCAGGGTCTTCGGGGTCTGTCAAGGACGCTTTCCTTTCCCTTGTTGATGAATTTTCATACACTAAACACAAAAGCACGACATTTTAGAATATTGCATAATATCGTCATTTGTCCGTGCTTAGTGAATAGGAACTCCTATTATGGAAACATATGTATAATACAATGAAATTTAGGGATGGGAGAACTTTTTTTGTCAACAATAAGAGAAATATGACTATTTACGAATGTAAATTAATGTGTTATAAAATAAAATCATATATATTTTTATTTTACCCAAGACAGTTTTAAACAAACTTTTTAATTTATGAATTTTTCAAAATAATTTATAAAAAGCATAATGCTTATTTTTAGGTTTGACGTTTTACATTTATGACGCATATGATAACATTACGTTTACTATTTATAATCATAGTAGGTTTTTTATAAGTAGTAAAAATTAAAATTATGTATAACAAATTATAAAAGTGATAATTTATAATTATTATACATCCTATTTTGTTATTAAATTACAATCTGGTAAAGATTAATGAGAAGTCTGTAATCAAATTAATCAATGATTGTATGTATTTTAGATGAAACTTATTTTTTTTTTGTTTTTATAACAATTTTTATAATAAAAGTGACGTTTATAACTTGGTAAACGTATTACTATAAAATCACTTGAATAAATAATTTTTTTAAACTAGATTTTTTCAAAATAAATAAGCGTATAAAAGAGAAAAATAAAAGTAAGAAAAATAAGTGTTGGAAAGTTTTGTTAATGTTTAGATATTGGAACACTTGATAAAATTTACTACTTAGAATGTAAAATGTATAATTTATAGTCTATATAGTTTTGAACGAAATTATATTATCATAATTCGATTGAACAGATTTTTTAGAATTTCTCATCAACACAACTTTACATCTTTAAATACATGTACGTTAATTTGCATGACTTAAACGGAAACAAACAAAAAGTTTGATATATTTTAGTTTCCTAGTTTTTAAATATATATATATATAGTATATATATGAGTATACCTAATTCTGACTATTTTTTAAAATGACTAGTCAATGTATTATAAAATCTGTATATATTATAGCTGAGGAATCCCTGGTCGTTTATATATATTATCAATAGCTATTAGGTAGTACGGGCCTTTAAAGAAAACATATTATTCAAAAGTAATAAAACAACCTTTATTATACCTCTTTGTATAGAAACTCATAATAACAAAACTTTTAAATGCTTTAATATAAAGTTATTAGAATCAGTTCTTATTTTTTGAATTTAATTTTTTTGCAATTTCGATAAATGGACATAAAAAACGTTATGCAAAACGAATAATATATTTATTAAAAATATTTATATAGAAAATGAGTTTTTAATAACATGTGTATAATATTTTGATGTGTGTATTTTCTATCGAATATTTTCTTCTTGTCATAAAAGTATTGCTTATTATTTATTAGAGCATAATATACTATAAATACTAAGATTTAGGGTATATACTTGAATATAAAAAAACACAGTAATAGTAATAATAATAATAATATTAATACTTATAATTAAATATTATAATTTATAAAAATTAAATTTTGTTTTTTTGAGACGGCGTAATGTATAGGCAAAACTAGTACATATTTGCATAGGCGGTTTTAAAAAAAAGGCTGTGGAATCGTTTTCTATCAACTTTTCTTTAACAAGGATTTTAATTTGATTTGTTATATTTCAGCAGCGTTAAAATAAGTAAATATACATAACGACTATGTTTCACTATACACATAATAACAAAAATATATTTTTTTGGAAGTCATAAAAAAAAGGATTGTTGTTATCAGTTTTCATTATTTCCGTAACCACGGACATAATGTATACACTATACTGCAATACAATAAATGATTTTCAATTAAACTGTAACATGCATATAAAATGATATATTCATATTCATTATTACTGAATGTTGGCTGTCATATTGTATAGATTGAATATACAATACCTAGGTAGATAATGTCTATGTATTGGGTTGACACATTTATTTGTAAATTTTATATTAGTTTCACCGCTATGAAATCCATACATACACTTTAAAGGTTTTTCGATTGGCGAAATAGTGTTGTTAATATTGAAACATAATAATGCATAGAAATATTCTAAAACTATTTACTATAATACAATATTTTTTACTTTGATTTGGTACACGTTATTGAAAATGCTATGTTAAGCCATATTAATTTTGTAAAATCAAATATTCTTACTTATGAAATGTCAAATATTAGACTACACCATGTATTTGTCGCCAACAGTTTCTGAATGCAATTCATTTGAGTTATGATACGATAGAAGGCATTGTAGTTGGTTTAGATAGCTGGTCCGATTTCTGACGACTGACAGTAAATCCCACGTTTGTTTTCAGCAAGATTTTTCGGCTAGACTGGCAAAATAAGCGAATCGTGATTACAGAAAATACCCGACGATTTGTTATACTAGACTTGGGTACTCGAAAATCGCCCAAGCCATTAACAACAGCTGTTTTTTTATCTTTTGTAATAATTGCAGTTAATCAGGAACTGTGTTCGTAATGGTGATACATTTATATAGAATGACGCATGATAATCATCAGGAACACTACTTATGGCATATATGCATAACTATTTATTTTAGACAAATAAAATTAACTAGATTTAGCACTATTCCATTCATCGGGTTTTATTTCTTATATTATTGGTTGGTAGTTTTCTTGCTTTTGATAATTATCTGTTTGGGTTAAATTGACCTGTGACGTGTTAATTTAAATTGTGTTTCCTTGAGATTACAATGTTCTGCTTAATCCAGAGCCAATCTTTTACTATGTACGTTTGTTTTCAATTTTGAATTGCTAAGATGCGGAGGTAAAACACCACGAGGTATAAGATAAATGTGGTCGGATAAAAGGTGACTAGACAATTTAGATGGTAGATACTATAGTGACAGAGCATGCGACTGGTGAAGCGTGTGGCACACGCACAGTGTCGGTTCCTAATGAACTGTACGTAAGTTGAAAAAAGATAGGATACATATTATATACATACATAAAGTGATTTCTTTAACAATATATCTTTGTAATGTTCAGTGCATTTAATAAATGAGTTTTTTCATTTGTCCGTAGCGAGACAAATAAAATAATTACAGTGAGGTTGAATACTTTAGTTGTTTTTATTCTTAACGCGGGGTTGTCTCGAATTTATATGTCTGTTATGTAATTGGCATATTCAACTCGTTTAAGATTGTTCTCTTGTTATTTTTGTGGCGGTCGGCCGATGACCGGGATGATAAAGGTAAAGCCGAGGCGAAATATTATGCCGACGATGGTTTCTGTCAACAGACCTCATTACCTTTTATCCTACATTCGTCATTCGGCTCGAGCACAGAGTTTCCTTCGTCTTACCCGTGCTAAATGATCACTGGCAATTTGGACGCGATTTACATTTGTGGGATACACGCTTAGGATATTGATTACTATCAGTGTAGTAGTGGAGGTGGTGGCTGTGGTCGAGTTTACAAAGTCGTAAGTACGCACTCCTTCTGCCGGAAACTGTTGCTGAATCGCCACTACCATGCTTTTCCCCACATCTTTATCCTTGCTGTGCTTTTATATCACTCTCCCTTTCACTA